CCTCCACCCTCACCCCCACCCCGCCCTGAGACCCTGATCGCCCACGAACCCCCAGAAAACCAGAAGTGGTGCTGTGGATCAAGTGGTAGAGCACCAGCCTGGAGCAAAAATGTCCAAGGATGGTGCACGGGGCCCGAGTTCCAGCCCCAGGCCCCGCACACGTGCAATAACATAAAAGCCACAGCAGGGTGTCTGCTGGCCGGGTTCCACGGGGGAGCCCGACCTCCCAAGGGACGCGCGGCCCAAGCCAGGCAGCTGCCTGGCACCCCAGTCCAACCGTCACATGGCGTGTGCACCCCAGACTCGTGGACAAGTCTTATGTAAATTCAGAACTAAAAATGGGCTGGCGGCCGGACTCGCCCGTCCGCACCTGCCTTCCAAGTGTGAGACAACACAGGATTGCTAAAAAAAAATTAAATTAAAATTAGAAATAAGAAGGAAGGGAAAAAAGGCTGAGAACAAGTCGTGCATGATGGCTGTGCCGGTGAGCTCAGTTATCAGGAGGCTGAGGCCAGAAGATGGAGATTTCCAGACCTCTCCGGGCTGCACAATAAGTCCGGTCCATCAAGCCGGGCCACAGTGGCTCACAGCTGTAATCCTCGCCGCTCTGGACGCTGAGATCTGAGAATGCGGCTTGAAGCCAGCTTGGGCAGAACAGTCCAGGAGACTCTTATCTCCAATTAAAATGAATCAAAAGCGGGTTATGAGACAAAGGGCAGACAGAGTTCTAGCCTTGAGCTCGAAAGCTCAGGGATGGCAACCCAGCCTGAGTTCAACCCTTCAGCGCAAATCAAAACAACAGAATATTCATTGCATGATGAGAAATTATTGTGCTCTGACTCTACAGCAGACCTTGTTCTAGACTTTGCTGTAGTCATTTTTTTTCTTCCCTAATCAGGAAGAAAAATAAACTCCACTGGAGGTTTCAACAGAAAAAATTTAATAGAAGGATTGGTTAAGCAGATATGTTAGAACTGTTATTTGCTCTATATTTTTAATCACCTGGCTTTTTTGAAATAGCCTCAGTGTTTTTCTTTTATGGAAACAGGGATTCATGTGTAGCCCAGGCTGGCCTCAGATTCTCCTTTCTCCTACCTCAATCTACAGGGATGGCCACCGGGCTCAGTTGCCCCCATTTCTAGTTTCAAAATACTTTAAAGGCCCTGAGTTCAAATCCTAGTATAATGTTTTTTTAAATATATATATATATATATATTTTTTTTTGAGTCTGGTCATGGGGCCTGAACTCTGGGCCTGGGC